CCAAGAAGGCAGCTGAGCTTCTGGAAGCACTGCTAAATGTACACACATCCCAAAGCTGTATCTAGTCCTGACTCATGGTTTCTAGTCTCACTCCAGTTGTCCAATGGATGTTCTCTCTTTCCCTGTCCTGTGACATAAGATCCAACTCAAATCCCATTTGCTTCCAGCCCATATTCTCTTCTCCCCACAATTTAAAAAAAAAAACAAAACATTGTCTTTACTATACATTTGGGTATTAGCCATAACTTGCATTACTACTTCTTATAACCTGAAAAGGGATGTGACACTTCGCAAGGAACACCCAGCACAGTGCTGTAACATACCAGACACTTGACCATGAAACTTACTGTATCAGCAAATGACTATCAATAATACTCTCATCAGTTTCTTGAAACTAAAACTTGGATTTTTCAGAAAGTCACTCCGTATTCCCACAGTACTAACCTTTTCTTGCTTTTTCTATTGACTTGAGTTTTTCTTTTGCTTGGTAAACAGCTGTTGCCTAATTTAAACAACATTTTAAAAGGGAATATGTATTATTCAGGATTATACCAAGCACAGCTTTTGGCTTCATTCACAAAATCATTTATCCCACAGGAACAATATGCAAAATTTGGAAATCCCCACAATTTATTTGTAATGTTCCAGAACACCACTTGGGTATCATTTACATCAGTTACAGTCAATGAAAAATAGAAACATCATATTCATGAATCAGTCTCCATTCACAAACTAGTTGTTAGAAACAAAATGTTAACTGGATTGTTTACTAGCATTTTTTCTTTATGTCTTCTATCATAAGCATGCAGAAAACAGACCACATACCACCTCCAAAGCATCCTATTCCTGTATCTAGTTCAAGGATAAAACAAAAAACTTTTTTCCTAGTTTACAAGACATTCTTGGATTGACAGTATCATTCATTTATACATTACCATTAGCTCCGTGCTTAATGACTGCTATCGTGAACTCCTCCACCCACCCCCTCCCCGGGCAAAGGCCCATTGAAGTATAAAATGAAGCTGACCTGGTATATGCATCCTCAACTATAACACAGTGGGGTAAAGAGTATGGAGTCAGAGAGATCTAGGTTTAAGTTGCATCTCCCTAATTTTACCTGCTTGGGCAAGGTAGGCATTCATTTAAAATCATGGTTTCTTCATCTGTAAAATAGAATAATGGTACTGACCTCATATAATTGTTAAGAAGAATGAGACAATACATATAAAGTTGCAGAGCACAGGGCCTGGTGCACAAGTGCTTAATAACTGTTAGTTGCTATTATCTAAATTCATAAAATTCAGTCTTTTTACAATCTTCGTGTTCACTATCTTAAACTCAGTAATTATGAAAACTAGTATCAGAACAGGATAAAAGTAAACTTCCCATTTCTATTCAACCATGTGAAATCTTTAAATAATGAAAATATGGTTCAAAAGTAATGCAGACTATCTGAAAACAGTAAGTAAAAAAAGGAATGACAATAGTCCTTCATCTAACCAAAGTAACAAGCTGTCGCTTTTAGACTGGAAAATTGAGGTTTTCTGCCACTTTCAAATACTAATAGATTTGTTTTTCAGAAATAGAGTAAATAGTATCTTTTTTTACATTAAGAACCAGCCTCTATCAACTTACCAGTATTTGTTCTGCTTCTTTTAGCTGTTTTTGTAGTTGCTGAATATCACTATCTCTCTTTTCTACTTCTTTTTCTAAAACTTGCATTTCATGATGGATTTTTCCCTGATTAAGTGCCAATTTCATTAGTTCTTGAAATTCCCCATCTCTGTGAATTAACAACTCCAGCACCTATCAAGAGAGTTGATTAAAGCATATGACAAAATACTGAAAAACTACATTCCAGTGAAACAAAGAAATCCACACATGAATTAACTGGCCAGGCTATAAAATTTTAACACTTTCAAAGTATTATTTCTAATCACTGTTAAGAAAAATGGCCTACCTACAATTAGAAAACAGATTAATATCAAGATTTTCTACTTTTTCTGGGCGGAGACGGAAATAGCTCAGTGGTAGAGTGCATGCTTAGCATGCATGAGGTCCTGGGTTCAATCCTCAGTACCTCCATTAAAAAACATTTCTCTACTTTTTAAAATTATATGCTATTCTTTCATATAAAATAAATAACTACCAATATGCCAAAATGAGTAGGCTTATTCATTTCCCAGGGTAGATAAACTTTGAGATGATTTTAGCTAGCACCAGGAACTGAACAGGATTTTTCCAAAGATATACAAATGGCCAAAAGTACATGAAAAGGAGCTCAACATCGCTAATCATTACGGAATTGCAAATCAAAACCACAACTGGTTATGTATTTGCACCAGTTACGACGGCTGTCAGTAGAAAGACCAGAGATAAACGTTGACGAGGATGTGAGAAAGGGAAGCCATCAGCACATGCTGGTGGGAACCTAAACTGGTCCACGTAAGTATGGAGGTTACTTAAAAAATTAAAAATAGAACTTTACCATATGATCCAGCAATTCCACTTCTGAGTATTCATCCAAAGGAAATGGAATCATTATTTTGAAAAGATACGTGCACCCACATGCTCACTGCATTAGTCAAGACATGGAAGTAAGTGTCCATCAATGGATGAACAGATAAAAAGTGTGGTGTAGATGTATACACACACATATACACACAAAGGAATATCATCCAGCCACAAAAAAGTAAATCTTGGCATTTGGGATAACCCTGAAGGCATTCTGTTAAAGTGAACTAAGTCAGAGAAAGACAAATACTGTAGGATCTCATCAGTGGAATCTAAAAAAAGCGGAACACATAGAAATAGAGATCAGACTGGTGGTTGCCAGAGGCCAGGGGGGAGGCAGCAAAATGGGTGAAGGCGGTCAAAAGGAACAAAATTCCAGCTATAAGTAAGTTCTGGAAACTGATGTTCAGTATGGTGAGTATAATTAAAAACACAGTACTGTAAATTTGAAAGTTGCTAAGAGAGTAAATCTCAGCAACTTAAAAAAAAAGTTCTTAAGAAATTGCACAGGAACCAAATAGACATTTTTCGGAAGACATACAAATCGCCAACAAGTACATGAAAAGATGCCACTTTCTCTGCAACTTTCTTAAAAGTTCTTATAAGGAAAAAAAATCATGTGAGGTGATGGATGTGAACTAAACTTACTGTGGTAATCATTTTGCAATATGTACATATATCAAATCATTATGCTATACACATCTTAAACTAATACAATGTTATGTTAACTTTCTCAATTATATCTTATGTAAATGATGCAAAGAATATATCAATTTAAAAGTTGCAATTAATAATTTAATAGAATCTGATCTTCCTGTTCTCACACAAAGTAAATATAAATAGGAAAACTGCAGAAATGATGAAGGTTTTTTGTTTTTAATTCAAAAAAGAAATCACTTACCTGGTTTTCCTCTCCAGACTGTAACAACTTTTGGTTTCTTGAAATTGCCAGCATTTCTATAAGTTCTCTAAAACACAAAAACAAAAAAGTTTGCAAAGTAAATACAATAGAGACTCTCTTCTCTGATCTCTCCCTGACTGACCTGCTGGATTCATGTACCCACAGCAAGCTAAGTTCTCAGAGCTACTGCCCCACAGTCCACTTTATGGACTTCAGCTCTTACCAGCTACAGTGCATTCTCACCAAGACTCAGGTGTGTTTGTTACCAGCCCCATTTATTCAAGTTTTACTCATTAATTATATAAATTAATATCAATCATATAAATACCAATGAAATATGAGTATGACTAAGAAGAACTGTTTCTATAAAAACCTAAGCTTGGAAAGACTCAACAGGTGTGTACAAAGGGCAACTAACAAACCAGGGGAAGGAAAGTCAAAACTCAGCAAGCGTCTGCCCCAGCACTGCCTGATGAATATTGACGTTCTTATTCCACTTTAAAGAAACCGAAGCAGAAAATGCAGACAATAACTACAGATGGTTTATGCAAGAAAAACTCATACATAAGGGGCCTACAGGCCAAATCCAGTACATCTGTGGTTTCTATGAATAACTTTCCTTGCAAGACAGCTATGCTTCATTTACGTATTGCCTAAGGTTGCTTTCCCACTACAGGGGCAGAACTGAATACTTGTGGCAGAGAACTTTGTGCCTGCAAATTTTTTAATTAACCAAAACAGGTATGAGCTAAGAGGGATCCTTACACATAATAATATATTTCTAGAAGGCTCACTGATTAGCTATGCCAATTTTCCCATGTGAAAATTAGTACAATGATCAAGAAAAAATGTATAGCAGGTAATATCTATGTATGTTTCAAACCTGTTGATAGATGTGACTTAATTCAGAGATTATCCAGGAGTGGACAGCTTCACAATTAGCTAGCTACCTGACGCTACTTATCAGCCCCAGTGTTTGTACCCTCCTACTGGCTGCCACGCAATTTTTACCTTCATATTTACACGTTCCACCATCCTCTCGCTAGCCCAGGCGATTATAGTGGATGGTGCCAACTGGACCCAGCCTTCTCCACTACTACTTCCCTACACCATTATGTATGAATTAATTAGCTAGTTAATTTTAAAAAAAGGATATGGGAATGAAAAGCCTTCATTTATGCATTCAAATATTTCCTGAGTGCCTATTATGTGCCAGGCATTTTCTAGATGCTTGGGTTATAAAAGTGAACAATGGCCATGAAATTCTAATATGGAAGACAAGAAAATATACAAGTAAAACCAGAGTGATAGGAATTAGGAAGAAAATTAAGCAGTGTTATATCAGAGAGTTGTTGAAATGGTTTGGCTACTTACACTGGGTGTTCGGGGAAGGTTTCTCTTAAGAGAATAGCTTTGAAGTAAAACATGAATTAAACAAGAGAAGCCAGCCATGAGATCTGGGAGACAAGACTACTTGGTAAAAGTCAGTGAGTTCATCGGCCCAAAGATGGATTGGAGGAAACGTGGCCAGAGCACAGTGGGCACCCGGGAGCAGGACAGAAAGTCAGGACAAGGGAGGGAGGGATGGGCTGGACTGTGTAGGGCCTTGTAGCTCGTAGTAAAGGAGTATTTCATTCTGAGTGCAGTGAGAAGCCACTGGGTCATTTTAAACAGGGAAGGACATGACTTGATTTATGTTTTTAAACACCTGCTGAGCTATGTGGAGATCAGATTGTAAGAGAGCTAGAATGGAAATCAAGTTAGGTGACTTATGGTGTCACAGGCAAAAGATGACACTGGATTTGACTAGATCCTAGCCACCTGGATTTAGTAATGGACGGACAGGTTTAGGATATATTTTGGAGGTAGAGCCGACAGGACTTCCTAATGGATTAAATAGACATTTTATGAAAACAGCATGTTATATTAGCCCCTTTTTGTACCCTATTAGTGAGATGTAAAGAGTTGAGACCCCTGGTCTAAATAAAAGCTGGTTTCTATGGGGAGAAGGGGTGGTGGTGAGGGGGGATGAGGGTATATTGGGACATGCAAAATGAGCCTTTTTCTGCCTTTCTTGCAAATCTGGGAATATAAATTAACAGAAAACCTGACAAGGGCTTGCCTTAGGCAGAGGAGTACGGGGTGGGGGGGTCTCTAAGACTCAGTGTTCAGTAACTGTCTAGGAAGAAATGGAAACCTGCGTCCTCCCCCAGGGTGAAGGGAGACTGAAGGACCCCCTGCATCCTCTCTGGTTCCGGGAGTGGGAGACAGAGCCCTGTCCCACCACAGAGGAAGAGCGGCATTCCGGCATGCCAGATTAGCCTCCTCCCACATTTCCACAGGAATGTAACGCACACAGGGGTTAGAGCCTGTATTATTAGTAATACTACACTTCGGGTAAATAATAGATAAACGATTAATAGGTTGGTGGGGAAACCTCAAGACTCCTCTCAACATGGTTTCTGTTCCACAAATAAGTTCTAAATTAAAAACAGTTTAATAAAAACTTCTTAAACTACAATCTGTCTATAGGTTTCTATTTTTCACATTTCTCTAAAGACCGCCTGATTCTATCACATCTTACAAAGCAATATATTGAAAGGCTATATAATCAGGTTAACAGTTAAAAAAAAATTCATATCCACTATTTTCTAAAGCCAAGAGGTTACAATAGAGAGTTTTTCATTTTTCATAAAAAAATGCAAACAAGAGAAAGATTCATTCAGAGGATAATGACAAACTTCACATATCACAGAATCAGTATAGTAACTATGTCTGAGCACATAATGGGACATTTTGGAAAGCGAGTCACACTGGAGCAGCCTCATTCTGTGGAGGAGTTCCAATGAGTGGCACAGCAAAGTGACATCCCTTCCACCGCCCCCACCAACCATTTCCAGGGTTATAAAAGAAATTCTCACCCACTGTCACTCGATTTTCTTTAGAGGTGAACAAATAAAACAATGTGGCAGATAAGTCATGAGAAAATCAGAGAAAAAGAAAAACTTCTAAGACAACAGTTATTAGCACAGGCAGCAGAGTGCCTCAAGAAGGAAGCCTATCACCAATCTGTTAACAGATTCAGTGAGGAAGGCTACAAATTAATGAGAAATCCAAGTCTTTGGAGCATTCCTGAAGAATGGGAAACAGAACTACAGCTTCTGGTAGAGGAAGCAAAAGAGAACTCAGCACCTCAAGTCATCGTGTACAGCTGGAAAGCTGAAGGAGAAAGTTTCAGAAACACAGACGTTCTTGAGGAAAATTTACATGATGATTCACTACTTCAGAGAGTAAACACACTTCAACAGAAAATGCTATACTTGATAATCAAGTTAAGGAGCAAATATGGAGAGGGATAAATTGGTCAAATCTGGATACAAAAGAATTTCAATTTAGTCTCAAATTTAACATAACTGATAAATTACTTAATTATACCATCTCAGGTGAAGAGTACATGAATATCAAGTATATGCATTCCTACAGGTACCGACAACATCAGGGAAACACATCTTGGATACAGAGCCCAGGAGCCAAACAATCCAGAAGCAGGATCTTGAGACTGACTACTGAGTTGTCCAATGTCAGAAGAAGTTCTCACAGACCATTTTCCTGGATGGGGGTAGGCTCAGAAACACAGTTCCTGAACTTGGTGAATATGAAACATATACTAGAGTTACTCAGCAAAACAGATGAACAAATTATGCCACAGCAAGTAAAGCTGAAAAAACAAATGTCTTCACTGGGCTCCAGAGTAGAAGGGTGGGAAGGAACAGTCCATTGGATATACTAAGGCAAAGATCTGAAATTCTAAGACTAAGGCCTACTCAGAAGAAAAGGAAGCATCCGCTATTAACCAAAGGGGGTGTCACTTCTTCACAAAGTCAACATATTTACAGAAAAATAAATCGCTACCATCCATACCATGTGGTTGGTCAAAATAAACAAACAATAAGGAACACTTTAACTCAACTAATTTCACACTGATCAGTGTCATCAAGATTCCTCAGCAAAGATGTTAGAAGCCAATCAAGTATTAGACTTAGCCTTCAGGTGAGAATTCTCCCAAAAGAAGAAAGAGCTCACGGGAATACTTCAAGCAGAACAAGATCCAGAATTCAAGGAAGTGGAAAAAATGGCTCATACAGGAGCAGCAGAGGTATCTTCCAACTAATCATTAGTTGTTCTGAACCTAATGGAACACAGATCTGTATCAGAACCACATGGCTACCTATTCAAGGTACTTCAAAGACTCAGAGACTGAGCTTGGCCGACCAATGATTCTAAAAGTACTAGTTTGGGTGAGTGCACTAGTTTAGAGCTGAAGTTGAATGCACAATTTGGTTTTCAAATGATAGCTGGCATTTAGAAAAGCAGTGGGTTAGTCAGCATTTATGGGATGTTAATTTGGTGTTTAATAACCTACACAGAGAAAGAACTTACCGCGAACTAAATGAGGCTTCAACTGGCTGTCCTAAAGGTAGTTATGTCACAGAAAGCAGATACTTGAATAACTTAACTGAAAACTTCATACCACGAAAGCTCAGTCTTGCTATGGTCTTTTTACTAAGAAATCACGCTGGTATCCACCCTACAGAATTAACCAAAGGAGAAGCTGACAGGTCCTCCACCACAAACTACAAAGCCAATCAAGACAAAGAAAGAAACAGCACTGCCATTAATCTGTGTAAACATTCACACAGAGGCAACACATTAAGATGGCTGCCTTATTCCAAGGAGCTTCTTATTCATTGTTTTGACTGCTCACTGACTGGAAATTCCACCTGCCCTTTTTGTCACCAGGCAGTATTTCAATCTAATAGTCTAAACGGTGAATTAAACACATAAGCTATTTAACTTCTGGTGTCCGTGTGTTCTTAGATTTTTAGTGCATCACTTGGTATCGCACTGACCTAGGAATCTGGAAGGTAATGCTGCTACGGCAAGGACTAAATTCACAGCAAAGTGCTGATTAGGTCAGAAAATACAATACAGACATCCCTTGGAGATATCGCAGGTTCAGTTTTCCAGACCACTGCAATGAAGTGAATGTTGCAATAAAATGAATCACAGTTTTTGATTTTCCACTGCATATAAAAGTTATGTTTACACTATACTGCAGTCTATCAAGTGTGCAATAGCATTGTGTCTAAAAAACAAACATTAAAAAACAGCATTAATCTAAAAATAATGCTGTTGGAAAAACGGCACCAACAAACTTGACAACAGGGTTGCCACAAACCTTCAATTTGTAAAAAAAAAATCCAATACCTACAAAATGCAATATAGTGAAGTGTAATAAAACAAGGTATGCCTGTATGTAAGACTTATTCTAAAGCTGGCAAAGAATGTTGACTACAGAAAAGGTGACAAGTTGGGTTTCTGAAGGATAAATGAGTGATTCATCAAATTGGGGGAGGAGTGGGAACTGGCCTGCGAATGGGGAGCAGTCAGGGAGGCTGGAATGAAGGGTATGGGGTAGGGGGAGGGTTGTGGCAGTAAATAAGGACAACAGGATGGATTAAGAGGAGGTGAAGAATGCCCCACTGCACACTAAGCTAAGGAGTTTGGGAATGGGAACCTACCAAATATTTTACAGCAGAAAAGTGATACGAGACGTCTTTTTAAAAAGATAGCTCTACTCTTGGGCTAAACAGCATTAAGGCCAGTGAAATTGCTGGGAGGCGGTATTACGAATTAGTTATGACAGTGGGGATGGGAACCAGAAGTCAAATCTGAGCAACGTGTTAGAAGGAAGAACCAAAACAATTTTAACATCCAAGTGAATGCCCGGGAGTTCGGGAAGGCTTCAACTTGACAGACTACCATGAAGGATGACAGAGTAAGGAGGATAACATGCAATTTCATCTCCTACCTCCGCCACACACGCTGCCCTCCAGCCACCCCAAACTGGCAATTCCACCACCAAGTCGTGCGTGCTGGTGTTTCCAGGCCTTTGCACTTGCTGTTCCAGCCACCTGCCGCCTGCTGAACTCATTCGTCCCTTGCAATCCTTTCTCCAGAAAGCCTGCCCTGACTACAACGGGGGCAGATGTCTAGGCCCGTGCTCCAGTCGCCTCTGGCCGGAACAGGCTCCAGGCCACCGTCACTGTTTACACGTCTGTCTCCCTCTCAGGACCGTCTCCCAGCGCGCGGCACACAGGGGGAGCTCCTTAACGTCGGGCGGTGCACGAAGGGACCCACACGGGGCCATCCCCAAGGTCTGCTACGATTCTGACAGTCGGCGGAACACTGTCAGCATGAAAACGTCCCCCTAGGGGGAAAGGCGCCGCCCGAGTCCCCGAGGGCTGCGGACCCTTGTGCACTGCCCCCGGGAGTGCGCGCCGCAGTCCCCGGGCGCGGCCCTCCTCGCCGAGCCCCGGGAACCAGCCCCGGCAGGGCCGGCCGCCCGAGCCAGTCCTCCAGCCAGGCCCAGCCCCAGCCAGGCCCTCGGGCCGACGGCCTCACCTCGACAAGACCTCCAGGTCTTCCAGCGCAGACAGCAGTCGCTCTCGCGTGCTGTTACCGCCCGCCGCTCCCGAACCGCCGCCCGGCCGCTCCTTCTCCTTCTCGCCACTGGAAGACGCCGCCATGCTCCCTGCAGGCCAGCAGCCGGCGTCTGCGCAGCTGGGCGCTGGCGAGGAGAGGCGGGCTCGGCCGGCGGAAGGAAGGGTCACCGAGACGGGGAAGAGAGGCCGGGCCGGAGCGCCCCCTGCGCGCCTGGAGGTGCACTGCGAGCGCTGGCGCCATCTGCTGGGCGCGCGAGGGCTTCTTGGTCTAACCCTGGGAGCCAAACCCAGAGGGCGGTCAGGGTCTCCTGAGCCTCAAGTCATTCAAGCAGGAGTGGGAGATTTCTGCTCAACGGATTTTAAGCTTTGAGGGAATTACATGAGGACATTCTTCTTGTGTCAGTTTCTTCGAAAAGTGGGCTGAGGGTCTCCTGATATTAACCAATCGTCTGCATTCCTATAAGCTGTTCCCCACCCTCCTGTTTGGGCTCTCCGGGAGGCTGGAAGCACTTTTAAGACAGGAACCAGAAAACATCTTATTTAATTTTTTTTATTATTGTGGTAAAATACACATAACATAAAATTTACCATGTTAACCATGTTTAAGTGTATACTTCAGTGTCATTAAGTACATTCATATTGTTACCAGCCCAGGTCCTTGAACTCTTTAATTAATAGAAATTGCTAAAAGGCCAGATGAGAAATTCAGGCAAGCCTTTCTTGGGACTCTTGTTTCAGCAGAAGGAAGTGAAAACAAGCAACAGGTGGCCTTGCTCACTGTTCAAGGAGGGCGGTATTGTTCCCTAAATGCGGGAAGGTAGGAGTGGATCAGTCACTCAGCAGGGAAGACAGGCTTAAGTGGCCGGCCCACCCCCTTGGTGGTGCTGTGTGCAGAGATCATGCTCAGGACCCTGCTTTTGCTCTCAGTACTTCATGAATAGCAGTTGGTTTGTAGCCTTTTTGTATCTTATTGTTCATAATTGCCCAACTGTACACGTGTGCAGTTATCTTTTAGTCCCTTAGTTTCTTTGTATTCTGTTGCTCAGAGACATTTTTCCAGGTGCAAGCACTCCAGCAAAGGATCTCGGATCCCAGGCCTGTCTCAGTATTTTGCTACCATCACCACCATCCATCTCCACACTATTTTCACCTTGCAAAAACGAAACTGTATCCATTAGACAAAAATTCCCCAGTTCTACCTCCTCCTCCTCCTTACTTATCCATTCATCTGTCATGAACACTTGGGTTGCTTCCACAATTTCAGTCCATCTTTATAATCACACATCTCCCAACAAAATGTTTGTTCATTGCTCAAGATGACTATTGAACTGAATCAATCAATATAGTATATAAGTGGTAGTTAATGAAAATAGTTTAAATGATGTAGCACACATTCCAAATCAGCCAAAAATGTACCTTCGCCCACTTTTCCAGGGGAGAACAATGTAGTTGGGGGTTTTCATTAGCAGGAAAACCTAAAATCAAACAGCACTGGGAAAGGGATCTTGTATCTTGGCCAAGTTGCCTTTACAAAAGATAAGCTGAAAAGTTGTCACCCACAGACCACAGCTGGGAGTGAGTCAGGGGTACCTGTGGTCCCCTCATTCCATTGTCTTGTCCTCTGGTCTGTTGTTTTGGAGGTGCTGAACCTGATTCCTGCTGGGCACTTGGAGCTGAGGATTTCCTTGGGGATTCATGCTAAATAAATTTATTCATAGCAACTGCTGTATAACCCAGAATGCCACTTTATTCTCTTATGATGAGCACAGTTATAGACAAACTGACACAGGAAGCCATAAATTATCACAAGAACATTGCTTGAGAAACCTGGATCAGAGTAGATAAAGATAAATAAAAACTTAGTTGGCGCAATCATCAGGATTTGCACCTCCGTAGTTAAAGAGGTCGTCATATTTGTGTTCATAGGTCAGTGTGTTTTCTTCCTTAGACAGAGCAAGAGACTCACAGATACCTTTTGTTTTCCAGCCATCCCCTACTTCTGCTCCGGGCTAACCCCTTCTTTTAATACAGTCAATTCTTAGGCAATGGACTAACTTAGATTTAAGCTTTCTTAATTATAATTGCATTCTAAGCATGCCTCCCAGTAGCTCTAGTCAATAATTTCTTTTTTTTAATTATTGTATTATTTAATTATTTTACTTGGGAGGGAGGTAATTAGGTTTATTTATTTATTTTTAGAGGAGGTACTAAGGAATTAAACCCAGGACCTCATGCATGCTAAGCATGCGCTCTACCACTGAGCTATACTCTTCTCCTGTCATAATTTCTTATGTTAAGCTTCCAAGGGGCTGAACTCCTGCTGCCTGTGTGGGTTTTGTTTACTATTACAGGTTTACCTTGCGGCATAATTATGCGGGGTAGGGGGAGATCATATTAGTGTAGCTTCCACATAAAAATTCTAGGAGGATTCTAATTACTTAACAATGACCAATTATAGGCCCTACTTTACAGATAATGAGGGTCCACGTGCAGACAGTGCATATGTGTCGTGACTCCAGACCTCCTTGAATTTGGTGCAAATTCATACGCACACTGAACATTGTCTATAGACCAGTAAGTAATGGCACTTTCTGCAGATGTACTCTTTTGCAAACTGTGCAGATCTAAGTGTGATACACAAAATATGAATTATTTTGTAATATACAATTGACCCCTGAGCAACGCTAGGGTTAGGTGTGCTAACCTCCGCTCACTTGAAGGTCAGAGCACTGCTATTTCTGCCTCAGAAATAAAGGAATTGATAAATGACTCACCCAAGGCCGAAAGCTGGGACAGGATTGGGTAGAATGAGGACTGAGGCCCTAGCTCTTTTGATTCTACATGTTGTGATCTGTAATCAAACACAAGCTTTTCCCTACCCTTTGTTAACTTAAAGATCTGTAAAATGAAAATGCACTTTCTGTATTGAAAAAATTCCACAGATAAATGGACCCCCACAGTTCAAATCTATGTTGTTCAAGAGTCAACTATAATTAAAAATGAATACTTTATATATTTTTATAGTTATTATAATAACTGAATTCACAGTAACTTTGAATGTAAAGTGTTTTCTCAATCTATAGATTCAAAGGGGTAAGTACTACTTCTTGTAAAATTTTATGTATTTAACCTGCCAGACACTGTTCTAAGTGTGTTTTTTAAAATGAAACCATTTAATTTTGTAAGACTTTCAGAGGTAAATACTGTTATTATCTCCATGTTACAGATAATGAAGTTGGAGGCAGAGAAATTAAGAGACTTGCCTAAGGTCCTACAGCTAGTAAATGGTGAAGCTGGGATGTGAATGCAGGGTCTGGCTCCAAGGTCTGTGCTCTTAGCCACTGGTTACTCTGCCTCTTTTTTTTAATGAAGGAGTTGCCTAAAAATAGATGTACCATATAATCCAGCAATCCCACTCCTGGGCATATATCTGGAGGGAACTCTAATTCAAAAAGACACATGCACCCCAGTGTTCATAGCAGCACTATTTACAATAGCCAAGACATGGAAACAGCCTAACTGTCCATTGACAGATGACTGGATAAAGAAGTTGTGTGTGTATATATATATGTATATATGTGTGTGTGTATACATATACATGTATTTACACACACACACATACATACACACACACAATGGAATACTACTCAGCCACAAAAAGAATGAAATAATGCCATTTGCAGCAAAATGAACGGACTAGAGATTATCATATTAAATGAAGTAAGTCAGACAAAGACAAATGTCATATGATTTCATTTGTATGTGGAATCTAAAAAACAAAATGATACAAATTTCATTTATAAACCAAACAAAGACTCATGGACATAGAAAACAAACTATGGTTATCAACGGGGAAAGTGGGGGGGAGGGATAAATTAGGAGATTGGGATTAACAGATACATACTATTGTAAATAAAATAAACAACAAGGACCTACTGTATAGCACAGGGAACTATATTCAAGTTCTTGTAATAAGCTATAATGGAAAAGAATCTGAAAATATAGGTACATATATGTGTATATATGTGTGTAACTGAATCACTCTGCTGTACACCTGAAACTAACATTATAAATAGACTACACTTTAATAAAAAATAAAATTAAGAAAAAAGCTACTGGGGAGAAGGAGTGGGTTCCCAGTAAGTTGCTGGTTTCTAGGACAGCAACTGCAATTTTTAAATCAATTATAAAGCCTCAAAATGTGCCACTTTAAATGTTTTTCATAAGCCAACTGGAGCTCCTCTACATCAAGTGAAGTGTTACAATCTGAACAAGGCCCCTCATCATCCCCACCCTCCTGTTCTAGTTACACTGGGAAGCCTTCATCAGAAGGACCTTATCCTCCTCATTCCAAAACATAACACAATGAAAAACTCCCACTGTCTAAAATTACTCACTGTTAATTAAAGTCATGAGCTCTATGGAAAGGGTGGCAATTTGTGTTTAACTCCCTACATTCTTGTGCCTTGAGAATAAAAAACTGTTTAAGTTAATCTCATTCTCTTTAAATGTTCATAGTGTGGTTTCAGTGGAAAGGTTTTCTAGAATTAACAAACTTTCTAAAAATAAAGTTTTATCTTCTGCCTGAAATTCTCCAGGCATCATTGAAAACTTACCACTTCTCAGTAACTTAAAAGAAAGGTGGGCATCCTCATTAGCCTCCTTTGGTAGATTTATTTATTCTACGAACAAACATTTATTAAGCTCTGTTTATGTGCCAGGGATCACATTAAATGCTGGGCTTGTAGAAGGCAAACAAAGCAATAGTGGTCAGGGAAGGCTTCCTGGAAGAGGTGAATGCAGAGACTCCTAAGAAGGCAGAAGCTGGCTGGGCTAAGTATTGGAGATGGGGCAGAAAATTGGCCGAGAGAGAGGAAAGAAGAACTAGAGTAAGGAATCAGTGTCACAAAAAGAATGGTTAAAATACCTCATCAATTTCTTGACTCAAATATGTAATAGATTGAATGGTGGACCTCCAAAAAGATATGTCTATATCTCAGAGCCTGTGAATGTGACCTTATTTGGAGAATGGGTCCTTGGAGAATTAATTACGTTAAGGCTCTCAAGATGAGATGAGCCTGGCTTATCCAAGTAGACCCTAAATCCAGTGATGTGTTCTTATATGAGGAGAAAGAGAAGAAGGCCATGTGAGGACAGAGGCAGAGATGAAAGTTATAAGCCACAAGCCAAGGAATGCCTGCGATCACCAGAAACTGGGAGAGACAAGTTTACTTCCCTGGGGCCCTCAAGAAGGCACGGTTCTGCTGATGACTTGCCGCCTCCAGAACTGTGAGAGAATAAATTTCTGTTGTTTTGAGCTTCCTGGTTTGTGTCGGTTTATTACAGGAGCCCTGGGAAACTAACACAAGATGGAAGAAATGTGGTTGGAATGAATGAACAGACATTCTAAATTTGATTCTAAGGAAATGTTAAGTCCATTTCTTCTTAAATGTAAAACAAATTGCTAAGTGTTTTTTGGGTGCCTGAAGATTAATAAACTAAATGCAGCTTCAATTTGTACCTCATGAGCTACAGCATTAAAAACACGTCATGCTTATAATTAGTAGCCCAGGTTATAGGATAAGAATTGAAAGAAATCTTAGTGATCGTTTGGTCTAGCCTGACCCCAGCCTGTGATTAAACCCTTTCTGGTGGAGGGAAGCTGGCCACCTCACAGGTCAGCCAATTCCATTGATATTGAGCCCAATATAAAGCCGTGTGTTAAGAGAATTTTCACACATTGAGCCCAATCTCTATCTTCTGAGGTCATAGGCAAAACATTTGATCTGTTTTTCACAGGACAAACTATCGAGTTTTTCTTTCTTCCTTCCTTCCTTTCTTTCTTCTCAATATAAACTGTATTTACAAAATTCACAAGGGAAAAATGATTATGCTTTCAAATACACATTTGAAAAGTTTCAGACTTAGATTTTAAAAGAAAACCTGAATAATTCATTTTTTTAAAAAGGGGCTAAATATTGTGCTGGATGTTTATATATAGGTATTATTTTTTCCAGTTTTATTGAAATACAGTTGACATGATTGTATAAGTTTAAGGTGTAGAACACAATGATTTGGTATATGTATCTGTTACAAAATGATGACCATAGTAAGTTTAGTTAACATCCATCACTCAAGTTTTTCTTTTAACTGATTTGTTAAAGTATTTTTCTTATTATAAAAGTAATTATAAAAAATAAATAAAAACAGAACAAAATAATGCATGTTCATCTTAAAAATCCAGCAAATACAAAGAAAAAGTCAAATTATATGTCATCCTACCATTAAGAGACACACATTTTTAGCATTTTGCTATATTTCCATCCCAACTTTTAATTTTCCATACTAACCATCTCTAGTTCCTTCAACTGTGCCTCGTTTGAAAGGGTTTCCAGATTTTTCATCACACTGATCATCACCTATTTCACACATTCTAATTGGTTCTTCATGAAGTGCAGCAACTCAAAGTGAAGATTATATGTCTAGGGCTGAATAAAAGCAGACTTTCCTTTTGCTGTCAAAAATCACTGAAGTAAAGTTAAGAGATTAGAGCCTTTATAATATAAGAAATCTCAGTCTAGGTTGATTTATGGTCTCTGTATATCAAGTTCTTCATCTATAAGGTGGGAATAATTATGCTCCTTTGAAATTTTGTTGGAAGCCATAAAAATGTATATAAAGTACTTGCTACATGATATGTGAAAATATTTTTATAAGTTATAATAATAACTAACATCTACTGAGCCACTATAGGTACAGTTACTACTCCTGTTTACGAACAAGGACATGAGGCCCAGGAGGAGGAAATTCTAGCCTGGCTCCCACATCTTGGGAGGTGGCAGTGCCCGTCAGTCTGAATTCAGAACCTGTGTTCTGCTCCGCTACACTATGTTTTGTAGCCACTGATGTTACAACTGCTCTACTCCCAAGGCATCATAGTGTTACAGTAACTTTTTTGGACATCATATAATTTTGCTGATTCATTTAAAGTTTGCAATTTATTTTTTAAAAAATACCTAATGGAATGCAACCAATCTGTCTTTCAATAGGCTGGATAAGCCATAGAATAGATAAAAACACATTAATATAGCCATATAATGTAAAACCATTCATCAATAAAAAGGAATGAGTTCTCAAGCCATGCAATGACAAAAAAGAACCTTAAATACATATTGCTAAGTGAAAGAGGCCAGTCTGAGGAGGCTACATACTGTAAGAGTCCATTTATATTCCACTCTGAAAAAAGCAAAACTATAGAGATGGTAAACAGATCAATGGTTGCCAGGGACTCAGGAGGTGGGAGGATCGAAAAAGTGAATCACAGAGGATTTTTCTAGGGTGGTGAAATGATTCTATGTGATATTGTAATGATACATGACACTATGCATTTGTATAAACCCAAAGAACTTTACAACACAAAGAGAAAACCTTAATATGTACAAATTAAAAAAATCATTTAGGTGGTTGGGAGATCCCAGGATGGGATGAAGAATGTGACATATCATCTAATTATATTATAAATGCATGAAATAGCTTCACTGAATGGGGTGTGTGTAAA